TTTTTTTAATTTCACCCCAATTGCACCCCCTCAGACAAATCGACAAACTCCAGCATGATAACAGGGATAAAGAAAAGAGCAAACTACATAACATTCCAAGCAGAAACGTGTACAATGCCATTTGTGGCTTCTATAATTTTTTTTAATTTCACCCCCAATTACACCTCCTTAGACGGAGCAAAAGTTAACTGCTGGTATGGTTGTTATGTATTGAAACCTCCCCAATTGAAATCTGCAAATGAAACATGTCATTTGAACCAAGTTATATGACTGTTACGATAGAGCTATATTTTCCTCAGTGTACATTTGTGGATGTGGATAACTTCACACCAGTATATCACAAATGGCCCAAGTTCAAGGTTCCAGGTTTGACACTGGGTCTCACAAACATAGTTTTATAGGGTGGGTACCCAGCATTGTAATGGGCAGGTAGGTACCCAGCATTGTAATGGGTAGGTAGGTACCCAGCATTGTAATGGGTAGGTAGGTACCCAGCATTGCAATGGGTACATAAATAATTGAAATGGGTTCTATTAGTTGCAGATCATCTTGTTTTGGTCAATAAAAGTCTTCAAGGTCTCAGGTCTCCTAAGAGATGCATGTTTTGCTGAAGACCTACCTATTGGCGATTCAAATTAATTTTCGCGCGCCTGTCATTTGTCATCTATAAGAAGGATGTTTGTTTATTTACATGTTTTTGTTTTGGGCGGATTTTGTATTTGTGATTTTTTTAACTGTTTTTAGATAATATTCTCATTGTAATAGTGTTTTTGAGTTTCATTTCGTGTTAATTTAAGTGCTTTCGTCATAAATATAATATTTATCATGTGTATGACTTAATTTGTTGGAAATATTTACCTATTGGTTGCTACAAGAACATCTAGAAATATGTATTCACTAAACCCAGGACATGTTTTATTATGTGGTTTAAAGGACATTTCAGGTACTACACATTTATTATGGATGAACTTATTTAAAGTTTTGTAAAATTTCAATATTGTGAATTTGTAGATATCCATTTATCGTAAAAAACAAAATTTTACGACTTGTACTTGGAAAATAATGAATACTTCAGTTTTGATTTTGACATTAACACCATATAGATTTCAATTTTCTGGGGACTTTTTAGCAGATTTCATTTTTAATATAAACACTATCACAAGCTACAAGAAATGAAACAAATTTAAAGCTAAAAAGTAGGAAAAAACTCTAATTGTAATTTATACAAATTAAAATGTAAACAATGAACACGAACGCCAATGTTGCCAAATGATGAACTGATTTTAAAACAAAATTAAGAAATGAACTGAAATATAAAAAAATAAATATAATAAATCGGTTTTATAAAAAAAATCCTTAAATAAATATAGAGTATGATAACATATTACCATACACAAATTTTGATTCTTAAATAAAAGGTCTTATCCACTTCTTCAAGAGCTAAAATCCGACGACGTGGCGAAGTTTTGCTACTTCTGGCAACAGTGAACGATATCCTACTTAACGGACCTTCTACAAATTTCCTCCAGAGGGCGTATCACTTAGCTTAAATCGCGAATAACAAATGACCGCGCGGGGGCCGCGGTACCAGTAGGACAGAAGATTTCCACAGTGACCACCCCCTCGGGAAAATTCGAGAACAAATATTTCGGAAGAAAAAAATACATGTACACGCAATTTGTGGACACCCTGAATATATTCTTAGGTTTTTCAGTCAAAATAAATTTATGCTACGCAATAAATTTCTAATAAAATTAAGATGTCAAATGAAGTGTCACACTACGTTTTTTTATTCTGCTAGAAGGCCTTAAAATCAAATCAAGGCATATTGCTGAATTCTACATAAAATTTCTTTTTCAATGACGTGTGTCTGTCCCTATTTAAATTGTATTGGTTCTAGTGTCCGAGGGGAGGGAAATGACATATGACAGTTGTCCACCTTTAAAAATTGACGTGACTAAAATGTGGCAGTTCCTGATAATGGCTCTGGTACTTTTTCGTCTGGCCACCCTGTATATAATTTATAGGTAGGTATGCACCTACTGCCTAACTTTTTCAAATCATTGTTTAGCGCAATAAAGCCCTATTTTATCACTCAAACACCATATACTTTGGATACAGAATCAAGAGCGTTCAAATGAAGTATCACTAGACCCATTTAAACTTATGTATTTGAAAGGTATACATTAAAACCCTGCCCAGAAACCCATGCGGATTTAAGAGTGATTGCCCAATCATACCTAATTGACAAAATTGTTCCTAGGCAAATACATTTATGGAAAAGGTAGGCATGTGGCATGTCTACTTTAATTCGTTAGAAAATATATCTGAACAACATTGATTAAACCCGAAATTTGATAACAAAAAATGTTTTAATTATCCATAAAGAATTTGAACATTTTTTCCAACACATTTCTTTAGAATTTCATGTGAAAGTTAACTCTGCACAATGCTTGTAATAAATTATATTAAAATACATTTTTTTTGCAAGAATAGAGAAAGTGCATTAAAAATTCCAAATTAATTTTGGTACAAATCTTTGCGTTACTTAAAAGAAATTTTGTGCAGGCGGTGCCATTGTGGAAGATAGACATTTCCGACTGCAGCGCAGTTACCATAAAAAAGCAACAACCCCGACAGAAAAGAGGAGATTGACCGCGCCACCCCTAACAAAAAAAAAAGATCGAAAATTTTATATTTGTCGATAGTCGTGATGCCGCAAAGCTCAATGACACTGGTGTCTCGTCAGGCAAAAGCCAAAAATTTTATTGTAGGAGGTAGGTACACGGGTACGGGTAGGTGATTCGATGATCTCGAGTGGTCAAGGTCCTTCGTTATCCTTTCTGACTGTGGAAACGTCGGGAGCGCCCGAAATACGACCTCGATATCGAGAGGTGCATTCTGCACATACACTTCGGAGAAATTCATCCCGACAATGACGCTCTACGTCGTACTCTATTGATTTTTACTGGCGCACATTTCATACTCGACCCTATACACACGTGTGCCACTGACACTCACTAAACTTTTTTTTTTACAATTTAAAGAAACTTACTTTGTTGAGGCGGCGGCAACATCCTGTAGTGAGGAGGCTGTGGCAGCAGGCAAATGCCCTCCTGTTTTACGGTGCCGTTAGTCATATACCTCGAAACCATTTCGGTGGCTGAGGAAAATTTATACGGAATTTAAAAATACCTATGCAGTCAATTAACCGGATCAATTCCTTATCGAAAACATGGTCGATTGTTTAAAGTTAGTTAACAACGGCAAATTAGCGATGGTGGTATTTATTTGGAGTAAAAATTTGGCCGAATTCGGAGTCGACATCTCGTGAATCACCACTGGTTTTTGCAACCACCAGCGACGGATGCATAGGGATATATAAACTGTATGAAATAAAGCACAAAATAGAATGTCACTCGCGGAATAAAATTTCGACTGTTGCTAATTCACAATGAACACAATTCGGTGATTAGAAAAAGTGTTTTTCTGTATTAAAAACGGAATAGCGAAACACGAACATGCCAAGCACGTCGCGCTGCACCTAACAAGAAAAATCAATAAGGGCGTTTTACAATTTCCCTAGTCAGGATTATCACATGTGGCAACTAAGAAATCCGTGGCGAATCACTTACACGATAATTTACAAGTTTTAATGCACAACCTTTCTAATTTGTCTCTAATATCAATAAATAATTAAAAATTTTAGCCGTTTACTTATCAAAGTCAAAACAGAATTTCGGCGACACACGCCATTGTATCGACTGTGACAGTGACAGTAGTTCCAAAATCGGCCACTAGGATTGACAGTCCCTGGCAGAGATGCCAGATGTATAGTAAATATGATTTTTATAAGATTTTTCAGATTTAACATTTACAGTGATTTCATCACAAATTCATCCCCAAGTAGTTAGAAACTGTATAAAAAAAGTAATTTTGCTTATACAAGGTGTTTCTAAATGATATGCAAATATTTAATGGCGTGAATCTACATAATAAATTTAAAAACTATGGTCCAAAAATGTTCCCGTTACGATGATACGTGCGGTGCTAAAGTTTAGGCAGTGATATATATTTACTACGCAGTGACAGTTAATAACGGGCAACTCGATTTATTGCAAAATTGTATTCTTTAATAATTACATTAATTTTCTCAGACAATACTACGGTTTTTATTTTTTTAAACAAAAAAAGGCGCATCGCAAGAAAACAACTCAAGAGAGCTCTTATGTTTCAAATTGAATGGGGCATACCATTTTTTCTTCAAAAATATCGAAATCGTAGCCATATACACACCACTTAAAGCATGAAAATTATTTTTGTATTGGAAATATGCACCTTTATTTACTGTCACTTCATAAACCTTTAGCATTACTATTTGCGTAACAAAATATTTTTGGACCATAGTTTGTAAAATATCAGTAATTTTTCATGTTGATTCACACTCTTAAATATTCATAAGGAACATCCTGTATAGTTAAACAAATAATAGTTAATATTGTCTTTGGCAACTAAGTGAAACATTAAGTGGACATGTAGTAATAATTAAACATAAAATTGCCTTCCTTATATTTCCAAACATAAAGCTAATAATTAAAATTTATCTACTCCCAACAATTTTCACTCACAGGCTTGAAGTTATACACATGATATTGTAACTTTAGAAACAAAAAAACATTTATATCCTCAGATCACAGAGTATAACTAGATTTTATCAATAGATTGTACAAAAAAAAAAGAAAATAAAGGAATTGAGAAAGGTGCTTACTATTTGAGCTAGAGAATTAGAGAAAACTACAAATGGCTTATTTTTTCAAGTAAATGAAATTTTGTTATGCATTTTATCTTTCTTCAATGCAAGCTGTGAGAAAATTATAAAAATATAAAATAGGAAAATCAATGAAAAATGCTAGGATTCACAAAACACTTGAAGTTAAAATTTAGACCCACATATTATTATTTTTTGTTCATAGATTTATATACAAAAAAATTATAAACTCCTCTACAAACCCAATCAAAATCAGTCAAAATTGTCAGCATCAACAATTCTAAATCTGAGAAATAAATAAGAGTATCACTAACTATAAAACTTGGAGGCTGAATTAAGCTCCACAGCACTTAAGCCTCATTAGATCCATTGTGTATCCTCAAGTAGCTTCCTCTTAAACCATCAGCCAGCCTATTATAAGAAATATTACTAGTATTAAAATAAAAATGCAGATTATATAATAATTGTGTTCTTTATATTTTGATATAAATTTGAAAAATACAAAATCCATGATGAAAATAATGATAAGTATGTAGCATGGATGAGCAGTTGCAGCCAATTAGAATTGTTCCCAAAATTTGGGTCAGTAGGGGTCTGCATAAATTTATTTTGAACTCAGTACAAATTTTTGCATATACCTATATTGATATAATTATTTTATAATTGCTTATCATTCCTTTAATTTGGTATCTAAATAATTGATTGACAAACAAAAGTTAAAATATTTGTTTTGAATTATAATAAGCTCAAGTACAATAATTTGTTTAAAAAATGTAATTTTCTTGTCATGTTCCAGAATTTTAAATGAATAAATTTAAATAAAATCAGATGGAAGGTGTTAAGCAAGTAAAATGGCTCACAAATATGTACCTATAAAACATATTGAGTACACTACATTGTTACAAGCTAGGCAGTAGAAGATAAGTAGTTCTGGACACTTCTTGTTGCATTCTCCCAATAACTGACACTATTTTCATAGACTTTCCATAACGTTTCTACTAATAATTTAATTATTTATAACATTTACACCCTTTAACCAAACACTGAGTTTGCACTAGCCACAGTTCCAAACAAATACAAATTTAAAAAGCCCGTTATTATACAACATAGTAAAATAATCACAGATAATAGATAAATCAACTAATTATAAAATTTTAATCAAAAATCATTTTTTAAAAATAAATTTTAAGGCGACTTTCCTCTTATCTTATCGTGTAGTATAAAAAATGCCCTTTTTTTAAATTAATAATACTAAATTGTAAAACGATTTGATCTGCGCAATTAAATTCTTTTTCGGATGCGGCGGAATTGACATGTAGCCGGAATAAATATTGAAATGTAAACAGTATGGCACGGCACGACAATCGGGTTTAGGCCATCTGGCAACGCTGGTACATGCGCCATTTATTTTCTAACCAATCAACTATTTCAATTTTTAAATTTCGCAATAGATTACATGGAGATCAACATGTGCAATGCATGACAATATATTTTTTTTATGTTTGTTATAAACCAAATTAATACTTTTATTACCTACCTGAAAGATTGAAAAATATTCACTCTACATCATTTCAACAAACACGCTCTCAAATGGGGAAACAAGACACCAACTAACATGATTTTTAACAGGCACAACGTGGCATTAAAAATTATCTTTCCATACAAAGTGATATCAAAGCTTAAGTAACTTAAAACCGTGAATTATATTTATCAACTTACAACAATTATGATTGTTATTAAACATTTTTCCACTCAAGTCATATGATGTAATAATACATTCCAGTAGAAAATACGTCACACTTCAGGTTTAAAATGGATTTTGCGGCACCATACACGATTTAACAGTCTTTTTAAATAAGATTCAAAATAATTTTATCCCAAAATCGATAGATATTAACGATACCATATGGATTAATAACTAACCAATGCTGCATAAGCAATAAGCAGGTGAATGTAGACCTACCTTGTATACCTAACCTACCTATTAAATAATGAAAGCTAACCAGTCACCACTTGACACACCAAAACTAGGAAATGCATTGGTATTTATAAATTTAAACAGAACGTAAATATAAACTATGAATTTATAAATGAATTCTTTGCATATTTAAACTTGAAATAACTTTCTTTGAAAGTAGGTAACAGTGAACGTGATTTGACATTTTGGTTTTGGTGTGACAGATGGGTGTAACTAGGACTAGGATTTTTTTTAAAAAGGATACGGTGATGGAGTATATCTCTGCGTTTGCGGCCCGCCTGCCGCCGTCTGCTTCTGATTACTGCTCATTTCAGGCTCGGGCACAAAGTCCCTTACAGCAGCCGTGGCAGACCAATTCTAGGAATCTGCATATGTTGAACATTGACACATTACTGCAACTCTAACAAAGTACATGATTTACTTGTTGGCATTTTCACTAAACAGCGTACCTTCTTACGCACCAATTAACACGGAAATTTAAAAAAATTAACACTATTCAAATAGTTTGAACTCTACTATGGAAGGTTAAGATAATTCCAAAATGGCGGAGTGTTAAACTAAAAACATATTTCACTGGATGTTCTTGTTCATTTCACCTTAAAGTAATTTAAGGGATTGAAGCGGGACCACTGAATGTTTGTTTTTCAATAACACATATAAAATGTCACTTTATATTATACAAATTAGAGTTATTAATTTTTCACTTTATCGAAAATGACACGCGGCTTTCACGTTTTCACAAAAGCACACCTAACGGAATGTTGCGAAACTAACTTAACCAATTACAATTAATCTCTTATTCATCACGGACATACTTTTGACTACTTATCTCTCGCTTTCTTACATCGAATAAACAATCACGTAACTCTTTGTTACCTTCGTAAAGAGTGGGATTGGTCCAGAAATGTCAAATATGTCAAAATAAACAAACCCCGGTCCACTAACCTTAAAATTAAAAAATGTCAAGAATTTAGGTTTATTTCTTCTGATTATTATGACTTCTCACGGAAAAGTAGAGACTGAAAAACTCAAAGAAAACATTGAAAACCAATTGGACAGATTAGTAGAACAACTACAGGATTTAGAAAACTGCAAGTAAATCGATTTCAAAATGATTATTTTTTGTTTTTTTATAATTTATTGGTTTTGTAGAGACGACTTAGATAAAGAAGAGTATGAAGAAACGAAAAATGAAACTATGGAGCAGTTAAAAGAGTTAAATGATAGTTTAAGTAAGCTAGTCAAGGGTGATATTTCTCTTATTAGTACGCTAGGTGCAGTACAACTGGTAAGTTTTCATATTTTTTTTACAATTATTGTATCTATGTTATGTAAAATATTTATTTACCAAATTTTGGGATTTATGAAGCATATTTTGTAGGCTACACAAGCTGCTATATCAAAGGCATTTAAAACACCTGAAGTTATAAGACTCTTTGGAAGGAAGGAACCTAAACAGTTAAGAGAAAGGTTGTGTCTCATTGATGAAGATGTTAAACTGAATAAACTCAGTGTAGAAGCTAGGGATAGGCAAAAGGTAGCCATTATGAAATAATTTTATTTTAATTGCCAATTCTTAAATTCAAAAACCAGAATCCTTATTCCAGAAAATAAATTTAGGAACGTTTTATATGGTTTAATTAGATGCTGTGACATTTTATGAGCATCTATGAGGGGCAAACCACTCCCGAAATACTGGTACATTTTCACATGAAATTGCTACAAATCCTCTCGAAATTTCTGTAATCATCATGGAAAATCCCAAAATCATTAGTGAATCACTCTCAAAATCATCAACGAAATCAATTTGTCCCTATGAAATATAAACACAAAAGCAAGTAAAGAGTTGAATATTTAAAAACATTGTAGCAAAATAATAGAAAATTATTTACAATGATTTCACCGAAATCGTATATAATGAAAGGATATTTTGGTGAAATCATATAAAATAAAGAGTGGTTTCTCTGAAATCATACAAATTTTATGTAATTTTCAAAATATGGGTATGTTTTGATCTTAGTGGTATAATACCAAGAAAGATTTCATTGAAATAACTGAAATCGTATAAAATTAAAGGGAATTTTAGCAAAATCTTATAATCTAGGGCGATTTCTCTGAAATCATACAAATTTTAAGTAATTTTTGAAATACAGGTATATTTTGACCTTAGTGGTTTACCCTTCGAGCATGTGCCTGCAAAACTCTCAAAGTTGAAATAGAAAATTACCTATACTTCTAGAGAATTACTGATATATGTTTCTTCTTCATAAACTTTTCCATTTTAATTAAATATATATTTTTTGTTTTAAAATTTTTAGGCAGAAATTTTGATTGCATTGAGGCAACTAAATGAACAACTCACTACAGAGGAACTCAGGTTTTTGGAAAAACATAACCATATAGCTAAGGCTTTTTTGGAATATAATTTCATTGAAGTAGAAGATGACTAATTTTGTAACTTACCCATAATATGTCTATACTTTTTTTTGTGCTGTGTCTACTTATCAAGTAATTTGATAAAAATAAATGTATATTAATTTTATCTTATTTTATTTTGCTATTAGGCATAAAATATCTGATGTGTTCAATACATGAATTTCCTGTACAGTTATCAAATACGGTGTCAGCCACTGAACGTCTTCCAATACACGATGCACAAGTGTGTGTGAAAGAGATGACAGCAGATGTAACTACAACAAATATCATGCTGTAGTGAATAAGACATATTTTAAGGGACACAGGAGGGTATAATATCATCTGGTCATGACAATTTCTTTTATTATTCTTGTTTTGTTAACAAAATTATTTATATTTTTTTGAATTATGTGTCATTCAGCCAATCACAATTCGTCTATAAGAGAAGACCCTACTAACTAAAGAAATATAGAAGAAATACAATAAGGATCTTGACAATGACACTTCTCATCCAGGGACTCATCAGGAATTTTTATAAAGTTATAAAGCACAAACAAAACTAGGCTATGGTAAAGGAATACACAGATAGGTATAAACCAAATGAAATCATTTCACTTATAGACAAATTGCAGTATGTTTTAAGAATTCAACTAAAGACATAACTACGATGTCAATAAAGTGTGACAGTATTGTTTCAATACTAGGCGGTGCAGAGACGTTATTAGCCAGTTTATTATATATTACATTGATTCTTATATTTCTTACATTCAAAGAATATATGATTGAGATCACCAGTTTGCTCGCAGAGGTCCTCGTTTTTTAAATGAATTATAATAATAATAATAATAATAAATGGTCTTTATTCATCATAGTTACACATTTACAATAACAAAAAAAAAAAGAAGGAAAATGATGAAAAGGCGAAGTTCAGCACAAGGCTGTTTTTCAACTTAACCTGCAACGCAAATAAATACATTCTATTTCATACACAAAATGAATATTGATGAAAACAGCTTAAATTATGTTTACAAAAATTATTTTTCAAGAGAGTAAACCTATTTCTTGACAGTTCATGTTTTCGTTTTATAATGCAGATTGATTAGCTAAAAGGTTTTCTTTGAGACATTTCTTAAAATTAAGAATACTGTAGGATCAATATTCCGCCGTTATATCATTATATTTTTTACTAGCAACGTACGAGAATGATCTTTCGAATAATGTGGTACTATGCATGGGTACTACTAATGTAGTTCTGTTTCTAGTGGGATAGTTATTAATATTGGAAAAAGAAGTAAATTTTGTGAAAAGGTATTTCGGTTTTCGTAATTTTAAAACTGTGAACTTATACCAGCAAGTGTAACGACCGGTAGTTAGACAGTGTTAGCCAACCTGACTCCTTCATTTTATGTGAAATATGTTGGAATTTTCGGATACCATAAGCAAACCGTAAACAGCTGTTTTGAATTTTTTGTAAACGCAAAGAGTCAGATTGTAGTACTGCTGGGCCGTACACAGTGTCGCAGTAAAAAAGTTTTGAAAAAATTAATGATTCACAAAGTTTTATTTTCGTGGAGAGCAAATTTCGATTAGGATATATCAACCTCAACACAAGTCAGATGAATAAAAGGAAGCAAATGCTTATACTTTAGTATCGTTCTGTTTTATTTTTTTAATTCTGCATGAGTCCATTTCAACAATTTTAAGTAAAAGCATTTGCTTTTTGTTTATTCATTTGACCTATTGTAACAGTTTTGGGATAACATATTAACGTGTTTGCTAAATCGCAAATTAGAATCTAGCCACAAACCTAAATTCTTTCCTTCGTTGGTAAATAAAAGAGGAATATCGCCTATTTTAATTTTCAATTGTTGTAACGCTCTTTCGCGTGGTTTTTTTGGACCAAATAAAATGGCAATAGATTTATTAGGATTCAATTTTAAATTGTGTGCCGCAGAAATGTTAAATAAACTTTTGAGGTCATTATTAAAATTAGAAACCAATGAGTCAATATTACAAGATAAATAGATCTGCGTGTCGTCCGCGTAATGGTGTACTGAGCAGTTTTTTAAATAAAATTAATGTGTCAGACTGTTTAAAGTTTGGTAGGGAATTAAAAATTTTTGGTCCAAGGTAGTCATAGCTTCTTTGACCAACAGTTTTATTTTTATAAGGTGTAACAAATTGGTTTCTATTTCTGGTGTTATATGTGTGTGTTAATGTCTTTAATTCTAATATATTAAGAAATTGTTTAATTGCTACTTGTTTATAATATAATTGTCTTATATCATATATTTTAGTTTCAGCAAAAAGAGAAATAGTAGGATATCTTAAGGGAACATTTAACATGATTTTTAAAATTTTTTTTTGCGATATCTCTAACATATTTTTGTACTTTAATGATACTCCTCCCCATCCAATGATTGCGTAGTTTAAATGTGGTTCAACCAAACTATGATACAAAATTCGTTTCTGTTTAAAATCTAAATATTGAGCGACTTGCTTGAATCTATATATTAAGAAATCAATTTTTTTTCTCAGATAGTATATATATTCATCCCACCTCATATGGGGGTCCAAAATAATTCCTAGATATTTAACTTTTTTAGCGGGTTTAATTTGTAAGTCTTGCCCAATTTGTATATTAAATGTAGGAAGTGATGTTGCGAGACTACTGAAAGGTAAGTATTCTGTTTTGTCAATATTAATTGATAAGACTCTATGATCAAACCATTTTTTTAGGAGACTTAGGTCATTTTCCACCTGAGTTTTTAGTAAATACCAATTTTGATTTTTGTAAAAGATCACATAGTATCGTCCGCAAAACTAATTATTTTTCCGTGTTTTTGAAGCAAGAAGATATTGTTCAAATAAGCTGTAAAAAGTGTTGGGCCCAATACCGTGCCTTGAGGTACTCCACATATAATCGTTTGTTCGTTGCTGGTTTGATCATTTAATCTTGTAATTTGACGTCGGTTTGTTAAATAACTTCTAAACAATTTATGAGCTATACCTCTTACGCCAAGATCTTCTAGTGTATCTAATAGTATATTATGATCGACAGTGTCAAATGCTTTTCGAAGATCAATAAAAACTCCTAATGAAGGCATTCCTCCATCTAGACTAGTATAAATATTTCGAGTCAATTCCAGTATAGCATCACTCGTACTTTTGTTGTCTCTAAAGCCGTATTGAAATGGTGACAATAACTCAAACGCTTCGAAAAACTGACTTAATCTCAATTTAATGCTACTTTTTCAAAAATTTTGGCAAAAGAACTAATTAACGAAATAGGCCTAAAATTTCCCGGTTCCGTTATATCGCCATTCTTGTAAATGGGTATGACTATTGACAGTTTCAACACATCCGGAAAAACTCCTTTTTCAAAAGATTTGTTAATTAGATACACGATTTGGTCTACAATATATGGGGAAATTATTTTAAACGTTTCAGATTTTAAGTTATCATGCCCTGGTGCTTTTTTATTTTTAAGTTGGAGTATAATCCATTACTGTCCGTAGGTTTTAAAAATAAAGAGTTAAATTTTTTTTTCTTTTTTTCGATATATGCATTATCTTTTTTAATATTTTTCGCTAGGTTAGGACCAACTTTTATGAAAAAATCATTAAAGATTTTACACATTTCTGTCTTATCTGTTGTTGTCTCTCCTTCGCTATTTTTCATTTGTGTAATGGTTTTTTTATTGGGAATTTTTAATATTTCGTTTATAGTTTTCCATAAATTTTTTGAGTTATTATTATCTTTTATTAAAAATATTTCATATCTTCTGCCAATGAAAATATTGAAAAAATTTAAATTTTGCACTTCTCAAATTTCTCCATTACGATTCATTTTAGAGACCTCATGTATAGGACAAAAATTATAGAGAATGACATCACAAGAAAGTTGTTATGACCCCAAGATAATTATACAGGGTGTTTCATAGGGAATGGTAAATATATATATTCTAAGGTCAAATGTTATCTACTTTTAAGATACAGGGTGTTAAAATTTATTTTTCGTTTTTTTTTGAATGCTTATTATTTTGAGCTAGTAAATCGTAAGCATGTTATCAATTTTAAAATTAGACAAAAAGGGCGCCACATACAGTCTACTGGATCAAGAATACTATTCTATTTTTTTTTATTCTTGACAATTTCAATTTTTTTAATTCTTTATGGTACACCCTGTAAATTTGAACAAAAAACGTAACTTCTTTTAATAGCATTTATCGGATCGGTGGCGTAGGTGTCTTACGCGGTCGCATTCATTTGAAAGTAATTTTGTGGTTGAAAGACATCGGCTTCGAATCCTACTGAAGACCATGTTGATTTTTAATTAATTTGCATGGTTCTCTAGAGGATTTGATGGATGCCGTATTAGCAGAAATTTAATTTGTTGATATGCCATCCATATTTTAAAAATCGCCATGCGTTACCGTTTCGATGATGGCGGGTGGGGTTTCCCTCACTTGTAAGTCAAATTGTACCATCTTTAAGTCGCCCCGGCAAATAATAATAATAGCCGTCCCTTCCTTTGATAAGCTCAGCAGTATTATTATCATTATATTAGATCGTGTATGTACTTTGTAAATCAAAAGTGTAATTTTGGACAATATAGAGAACTTTAAATGGTTTCAATTTATTATAAATTATGTCAATTTTTTGTAATCGGTGCCTTGTATATTCAAGTAAACTCAAACTGTAAAATACGTGAGAATTCTTTGGTTGGATGTGCATTGTGTGAAACGTTTATTGATGAATACATATTTATATTCTATACCAAAAATATCAATGGTATCCAAAATGGATCTTTGAGGGATGACGTCTGATACAATTAAATGCTCTTGCACATTTGGAAAGCCACAGTAACCAGAAGACATTCCAATGAAGTTACCAAGAATGTTTATAGTTTCCTGTACTCCCCTTCTAAGTCAAAAAGCGAGTTTCGAGAAAATATACATTTTCTAAAAGGTTGTTCTCACGTTTCCTAGAGTCAATAAAATAATTTAGGTACCGCTGGATTACTTTAAATTATTTTTGAAGTTCTGGTGTCGTATATGGATATGCAAGGATTTAGCTTAGAAATAATGTCATACCCCAAAGCCTTTTAGTTAAGTACAAGTGAAGTTGAGATATTAATTTGTTATAGGTTTTTTCTGGAGTGAGATTTTGCTACTTTTCTTAGTTCATCTGATTTTTCAAGTTATCTGATGCGTTAAAAAATAGAAGTCGTTTTTTTATACACCGCTTTTTGGATTGGAAGGGCAGTGTAAATCGAAAATATAATTTACTACTACTAATTTCAGTAGTAGCTTTTATTATTATTTTTAGGAATAAAACGAAAATTTGAGCATAAATACTTTATTTTTCATTCTCCATAGGTAAAATCAAATAAAACTACTCCTTTTGAGTTACACAAACAACAGTTTTGTACAATAAAACGAAAAAAAAAAAAAAAAGAAAATCAAAATAAAGTAAAACTAATAAAGGTTGGAATTCCTAATATGATATGGAAAAAAAAAACAAAAAAAATACTAAAATTTGACTTTTCCAAAAGTCTGTCTCAGTCATATGTAGCATTTAAATTTTGAAAAACATTTATTAACTTATTCGAAATATCGGTATACCGTTAAGTCTCAAAATGTTAAAGTTATTTTGTAAATTTTTACAGTATTTTTTTTAAAACCCATTAAGTCTAATTAGATTTTTTACTTAATCTACTTCTAACGCTTGCGACGACAAACTTTTTTATGTTCAGCTTGCCAATGCTGCTGCTGGCAAGTTTGTGAACAATATGCAGTATTCCAGCAACAATGGTATATGGCGTCCTGTTCGCAGTTGTAACACTAAAACATCGAAAAGTTAATTATTAAATAACATAAAAGTAAGTTAAAGTAGTATTAAGGCTGTATGTCACGATACTAAATTAAGTACTAAATTTAGAACTAAATTAATGCATTTTTTAAGTACTAAAAAAATTCACGTTGCAAACAGCAAATTTAGTACTAAATTTAGTGCTAAAAAAAGTCATTAATTAAGTACTAAAAGTGCGCCGAAATGTTGCGCAGAAGTTTTTCATAGAAAAAGTTGACACGACGGTATTTTCTGTACCCTTTTATTTTTAATTAGCGACAATTTTACATTATCGCCTTGAATAAAGTTCGCTTGTTTGATTTTGTAGGTTTTATTGTGTTTTTTTCGTGGTTTTTATGCTGTATTTGGTTGTTGTCAAGTCAACTAGTGTCAAATTGATAATAAAAACACCATTTACTTGTCTGTTTTACACATAATATTTCATTTCTCTGTTAATTTTACGTATTAATACGTCAATGCGCGTGCGCCTATAGTAAATTTAGTACTAAAAATTGGTATCGTTGCAAACGGAAAAAAAAATTTTTAGTTCTAAATTTAGTACTAAATTAATAACTTAATTTAGTGCTAAATTTAGTACTTAATTTAGTATCGTGACATACAGCCTTTAAATAAAAAGTTCATTATTTTATAAATTGAATAGATAATGAAAACAAAAAACACTTCTTTAATATATTTTGGATAAATATTATTGAATTTACTCACCCATTGTTTTTTCTTGGTTTCGGAAATTTGTTGATTATGCGATTCAAACAGTCTTTTCAAATGTTCATTGTGATCATTTGTTATTTTATCAATTTCAATCTGCATACAGTCCATTGCGCATTTTATAATTTCCTTTTTGTTAGGAAGGCACTCCAATTTTCTTCTCATCTAAAATATGTAAGTAATTATAAAGTTCAATTTTATTTAATTTTAATAAGTGTAAAGATTCATTCAGCTGAAACATGTTTCCCCTCCATTACAGCTGTGTTAACGTTTCTTTAATGTTTATTACTGTATAATTAACTGCTGACCAAATGAGTCACGGTACCATTAGAGAAAGATAGAAAACCATAAACAAGGCGCGGTCACGTGACTAAATAGTAGTGATGGGACTTTTTATGAAATAGTAGTTTGTGCAACAAGAATGAATATAGACAATCCACTAGAGTTGTACAGTATATATGTGTTCTACGACCCACTAAAGAAAATCTACAAATTTAAAAATAATTTATAACTTTTACTAATTTATAAATTAAAATAAACAAAAAAAGGAATTGATTAGTCTCCAGCCCAAATTTGAATCTTGCATGGCAGCAAAATGCTCTAGACTCACCTGAATCGAGACACTTATTGTGCAGTGTTTTTACTACCTAGAATGGATATGAAATATATTCGTTCAGTTGAACACAATGTAATCCATTTTTGTTTTTTAGTCTGTGCATAGATAAGCTAATATACATGTGGGTGTAGAAAAAATATATGTTGGATTAGTCTGTTGGCCATGTCCGGAAAAGTAGTGAAACTTGGGCATAGAAGACACAGTGTTAAATGTTCCTCCATCTTGGATGCATTTTCAAAAACACTGAGAACATTATTCGTATTTGTATTTTCGTTTTTTAAGCAAATAATTAGTAAAATACTTCCAAACTTTTTATTTTTTGGTCATATTTTCACTTTTTATTTAATGAGATGAAACGAAAATTCGAAAACACTCTTAAAACATATAAATGTTAGCAATCATTTGTCGTTTCTTCTTTTTTAAACTATATTTTGTCTTTGTTCGTAAGAAATTCAGCCAAATTATTTAATTTAATTTCACACAAGCACATTTCTCCATTTTCGAAAAGTGTGTCAACCTAATAGACCATCAGTTAGTGACCGATTTAGGTGCCCCATTTTTCATATACAAGCCTCAAAAATTTACGAATGGCTCGTGGGGATAACACACGGAAGTATTGATTTTCTTTAATAGAAAAATCGATTTTCTTTAATAGAAAAATTCCCCGACCCCAAAATGCACTTATCCATTCGAGTCATTCAAGCCAAAATGTTTTTCGGACTAGTGACTATGTACGTTTTTATAGATTCGATGGGGCGGGGTTGGTTGTAGTTTAGCCATTGCTTTGTAGCTTAGATTGCTTGCTTGTCCGCTTGTAGGTAACTCTTTCTGCATGCCATTGGAGAAATGCAATCATCGAGTGTCTGTCTCCTTGTGGCACCGCTGGATACGTTAATATTGCTGCTCTATGAACAGCACTATTAACTAACTAAATGGTACTCCATCAATTCCCCAAGCCAAGATGTAAGGCAACGTGCTGAAGGCTGAATGGCCGCTGGGAAATCGGTTTCGAACGTTCCTCTGGGGGCGAAACCCTTTTGTATCCAGCCTTGCCGGCGCATGCGGGGCTCTGCGTCGGTCGAGTTTTCTTTCCCTAGCTGTTCGTGGGATTTACATGGGCAAGAATACTAAAGGAAATAAAAACCGGCGGGACTACACCGCCACTAAATTTGATCAAACGGAGCCTGCTATCCGAAGCAATCAACCTCCCTCAACCTCTCAAGTAAGACAATCTCACAAGAGAGAAGTGGGAGAACAAAAGAAAGAGGTGAAGGGAGAAGAGGAGCACCATCGCTCCATCTCCCTCTCACCACTCATCGGAGAGGGAAGCTCCCCTCAAAAAAGAATCCAAATGGAAGCTACCTTCCCTACCTGGGACAACCTGGTGGAAGGGACGACCCACTGAGTCATGGACTCAGTGGGACAGGGCTTTGGTGGTATCTTCCGACCAATCAGCTTCACATCCTTTGTATTAAAAACAATGGAGAAGGCTGTTGATAATTATATCAGAACGGTAGTCCTGAAGAGGGTGCCACAGCCAACACGCGTACCGAACAGGAAGATCTACAGAAACTGCCCTGGTAAAATTGACTGACGTAATCCAGGATGCACTGACAAACAAAGAAACGGTCGTGTGTGCCTTCCTAGACATATAAGGAGCTTTTGACAACACACCACACGAATCTGTAAAAAGAGCACTTGCATACAGAGGAGTAGATAACATCACATCCAGAAGGATGGGTCAGCTGTTACCTATGAGAACTGCAGAGACACAGATAGGGCAGGACACCATCTCCATCTGCACAACCAGAGGATGTCCACAAGGAGGAGTTCTATCCCCACTAATGTAGAGCCCAATCGTAGACGAACTTTTATGCCGATTGACTGACCTCGGCATACCCTGTCAAGGTTATGCCGACGACATAGTCATATTTGCTAGAGGCAAGTTTAGTAATATCCTGTGTGATATAGTCCAACGTGGACTAGAACATACCAAAAGATGTTGCCGTGAAGTGGAACTTAGTATAAACCATACAAAAACAACACTAGTAGCCTTTTCAAAGAAAAGAAAACTTAATCTCAAAACCGTTAAATTGGACGGGATATAGAATGAAAAAATGAAGTCAAATATCTAGGCCTCACCCTGGACAACAAACTTCTCTGGAACATACATGAAAAGGGAGTAGTAAATAAGGCCACAAAAGCCCTAATGGTATGCAGAAACATTGCAGGCAAACGATGGGGATGTAACCCAAACATACTGCGATGGATGTATACTACAATAGTGAGACCAAGCATCACTTACGGGGCTAAAGCCTGGAGTAACAGAACTAGTTTAGCTACTACGAGAGCTAATATCTCAAAAGTACAAAGACTAGCCTGTGTTTGCATTACTGGTGCAATGAGAACCTGTCCTACGGCCGCAATGGAGGTGATCTTAAACCTCACCCCTCTACATTTGATGATAGAGAATGTGGCAAAAAGGACACGATATAGAATGATCAGGAACGAAGTAATCAGACGAAAGTCTACTTGCTTCAGGACTAAAGATGCTCCAAGATGAAATACTAAAGAAATACAGTTTTGTGAAAAACTTCAAAACCACAGAGCTGGGCTGCAAGGAAGAATAGAGCCAAGAATCCATCGCGCTTGCAACCGAAAGACGTGCTATTCAGTGGTATACGGACGGTTCCAAAACCATAGAAGGAACTGGAATAGAGTGTATGGGCCGAGTACCAAGCACTCCGAAAGCTTGGGAAAATACCCAAGCATCTTCCAGGCGGAAATTCACGCCATCGAGAAGTGTATCCAGTTCAACATCGAGAGAAAGTATCATAGACAAGAGATTATCATCATGTCCGATAGTCAAGCAGCCATCAAAGCGCTGAGCTCTTACGTAATTAGCTGAAAAATGGTCTGGAGATGCCTAGAACAATTGAATGAGCTAGGCGAGACAGAGTTACTCTCACTTGGGTCCCGGGACATAACGCGGTACAGGGTAACTAGATTGCAGATAGTCTTGCAAGGAAAGGAGCTCAAACACCCTTTGTAGGACCTAAGCCGTTCTGTGGTATCAGCAGTAACATAATATTAGGAGAGATTAAAAAAGAATTGGACAGTAGAAGAACCGATAATTAAAACAATCTCTTGGGGCTGAGACAGGCCAAGATACTTCTGGGTGAATATAACCAGAAAAGATCGGAAGCCTGCATCTGCCTGAGCAAGAACAGGCTACGTATTGTAACAGGGATCCTTACCGGGCATTGCCGACTAAAAGGACACCTAAGTAAACTGAGAGTAGTAGAGGATAGTGAGTGCAGATTCTGTGAGGAGGAGGATAAAACCTCCATTCACATCCTAACTGAATGTGTAGCACTCCAGAATCCAAGAGCACTATATCTAGGAGGATATCAAATAGAAGAGGGAGATTTACCTAACTTGAAGCCACTTAAAATCCTACACTTCCTTGAGAAATAGGATTGGAAGGGTCGTTATAGGCATTGAGACATTTCCTTGGTGCATTGGCGACAGAAGGGGGCACAACAGATCTTTTAGGTCGATTTTTCCTTACAAGATTACGCCCTTATTTCAACCCTTTAGCCATTTGCAACATTAAAGTCTTTGGTTTTCCGAAGTCTAGTTCTATTAATTAATCATTTAGTGAACATGGCTTGCGTGAAAATATGGGCAACAAAAAATAACCCTTAATTTTTTTTAAGGAAAATTGAATTTTCCATATGTTATCACCAGGAGCCACTCGTAACTTTTCTCTCATTCTACTCAAAATCGAATTACTTTTCAACCCTCTTTGAGGCACGTATGTGAAAATGGGGCACCTAAATCTGTCACTATATGACAGTCTATAAGTAAATTTTTCATACTATTTGTCAGTGGACTTTTTCAAGCAACCTATCACTACTACAGACTCTCAGAGTGGGGTCGCTTTGTTTGGATTTTGTTGTGTGTTATTACAGTAATTTTTTTATGTTATCTGATGTGAAATAATGAGAAAACTTATTCTTGGGTGTATCAATTGTGCTAGAAAATACCTGAATGTCAATTCAGTAACTCTTTGCAGGTACGTAAGTTTTTCGTCCCAAAACATCCAAATTTGCTTGAAAAACAAATAAAAGTTTTCCAAAACTAGGCATTCCTAACAAAATGGCTACTGAAGGGAAGGGTTGGTATATCTTAGGGTCTGCGACATATGATGTATTCTATCTACAACACTTGAAATCACGAATAATGGATTAAATTTGAATATTGTATCTCAAAAAACTACCCATTTTATGACGAACATCATGAAAATGTCATTCTCAAATTGGCAAGCTCGAAGACTATTTTAAATTAAAAAAAAACATCCAAGATGGAACACTATGTCGCGACCCTCTTAGATATACCTGCTACGTCCTGTGGCAACTATTATTTTAACTGATTTCAAAATTATTATTATGTCGTGTCAAAATGGTCGACGATTACTGAAAAAAATATATACGTAAAGGTCTAGGTTCGCTTGAACCAAGATCTACCCTTCCTTCAATATAATTACTTTCTATCTCTTCTGGTTCCTTGATGTGATTCCATTATAAATTATAGCGTCAATAAGGCAGTTCGAAATTGTCAGTTTCTAGTACGTTTTTTTAATGAATTTTATTAGTTGAACGAGTTACACAAAACGGCAAGTGGAAAAGTGTATTAGGCATGCGCGAAGGCAAAATATAGTTTAAAAAAGAAGAAACGACATATAATTGATGACTTTAATGTGTTAACGGTGTTTTCGAATTTTCGTTTCATATCTTATTAAATAAAAACGTGAAAATATGTCCAAACAATCCAAGATATGGAAGTATTTTAGAAATAATTTGCCGACTACCTTTTCGGACACGTCCGTCGGACTGGATAAAAATTACTTTTCATGAAAATTCCCATCACTACTATATTAAGCGAATGAACCCCTAAAAATATTCTCTAAACATTACCTTTTCCACAGAATCACTATAAGGTTGGTCCAATGGTTGCATTCCAGATTCGCTTCTGGGCGATAACAATTTCCCAAAAGTTTCCGTAGAACTAGTCACTTGTTCATAAGACTCGGCCAAACTATAAAAAATAAAAATCTAAATTTTCTTACTGCATTTATGCAAACATATTTGAAATAAATATAAATCAACGTTCGTTCTTTTAGTTGTGACTTCAGTTATCTAGAAATAAAATTAGTTGCAGAGCTCATTGAATGCATTTTCTATCTACCAATTATTCATAATAATTAGAATTAATTATCTACTTAATAAATAATTTGATAATCTTTCTTTTTAAATTAATTGAACCGTCAAATGAAGTAAACACATTTTTTAATTTATCTCATTTAAATATTTTCATGTTAAACAACGTGAAATATATATTATACAGGGTTCGACAAACTTCTGTCGTTGTTCTATAACTCTTCTATGCAAAAAAACGATTTATTTAAAGGTTATCCGTCAATGGGGGCCAAAACCGAATATCCGGAAATTGTCGTCGTGTGTACAGGGTGGTCCAACAGTAAATTATTTATTTATTTATGGGAAAAGCCCAATTCGGTTTAAATACAGTAAGATATAATAAAATACAATAGAATATAAAAGATAAAAAATAATTCACATAACATATTCGTACGATTATATAGCTAATTGGTAGGATAAAACAGTAGACACAGAACATCAATTAAAATATAATGAGTGCAAATGAAGAATATGAGATTACACTTGACATTCAAATATTCAGTATAAGCGGTTTTTAAATCTCTGAACAGAACTGTCACAAAGTTGAATATCATTCAGATAATTATCTATTCTAAGTCCATTGCAAGATAATCCAGAAAGCGCAATGGTCTGGCAACCTCTTGAAACGTTCGCCAACATGCTGATCAGAGCCGGCTTAGGTTGAGTGTTATTTGTTCAAATGTTAAAGATAATTTTTAAAATTTGATTTCTACAAAGATCCTTTTGCGGCCTAAATTGCATTGAAAAAAATATAACACGCTGAGAAACTTGTATTAAAATAAAAAAAAAAATAAAGGTTTTATTACCAAACACATGTTCAACTAAAAAATATATTAAAAAATGAAACTGACTAAAATGATTAAGTATTAATTTAAAAAGAATATTTTTCACTAGATTTATTTTGTGGAAATTTAGGTAAATGAAACATCTATATTTCTAAATCACAGTCACTAATTTCATGTTCTGAAATAATATCACTATCATCATCAGTATCATCCAAATTTATTTAAATTTTTTTGAATTGTATTGTTAAATCTCATATATTTCTTTTCGATTTTTTTAACATGTTGAATAGCGTTTTTTTAGTTTCCAACAGTTATACAATTAAATGCATTTCTTACTACATCAATTACAGAAGAAGTGGACTTAGGAGAACAGTTATTTGCTCGAGAATATTTTTTAACTGTGACCATAATAATTTTATGGTGTTCAAAATATAGTGGTAGGGTGGTAAATGTAAAACTTTAAATCCGTGTTTTATTGCTATGGTGTCGATAACATATTCAGGTTGAAAATCAACCAAGTGTAAAAGTTCTATTAACTGTTTTTTTTTGTGTAGTTTTCTTCAAAAAATATATCATTCTCCACCAGAAAGTCCTGAATCACTGATTTCGTAGAATTGGTATTTGGTTTTTTTCGTACCAACCGAGAATGGTACTGGGAATTATCTAAAACTATTATGCTATTTTCATTTAGTTTTGGTAGTAATATACTCTCAAACCATTTTTCAAAAAGAGTACTTTCTATGTCCCGGTGGTAGTCCTAACTACTATCCCGTACATCCTTTGCAGACAGCAAGAGAGCTCCTTCTAACCAACCTAATTCTCCACCACAATGTAAAATACATATTCTTTTTCCTCGAGATGGAGAAGTTGCTACATTACATTGATTAAAAGCACAACGTAAGCACAGTCACATTAAGTGACGTTGTTTGTGCGCGACATCCTACCTTTAGTTGGGTATATCATGAATACTACCCATTTCCTTAATCCGCTAGTTAAAATACACACCCTGAAATTGAATGTTTTAATCCTACAGGTACCTTACACTGTTATTAGGTACATTTACTTTTAATACAATGTTATTGAGACAATCTGTTTTTCCGAATACGAAAATAGAAATCGACTTTTCCCAGCGCTTTTTTGAAAAATTATTAATACAATTATTTATCAAACCTTTAGTATTATTGAGAGATTTCAAATAATAAATTTCAATTCCGATATCTCATAGTCATTAACCTTTCTTACGAAATATTAATATTATCATGTTTGTTCCCTAAACATCAGAAAACATAAATTTTTAAATTCCATTTGGGAGCACCGTCCCTATTCCGGCTAATACACAACCTTCCTTTATGTGTAAAGCGAGACGATTTGCTACTATAAATTGCAACAGACTATACTAGGTATGAATCTATTAAAAGCAAAATTGTATGGTGAAAAGGTATATGGAATTATTGAATTTGTCTAGTGGTATGTGACGGCCCAAAAAAATTGATTCTGGCAAGGAGGTCGGGGCAATTACATCTGCCTTGATAATATTGGACAATATGGCAAGAGCTTTTCGTTTCCAACGAACTTCCAGCGAAGCAGGTATGCTTAAATATTGTTGCAATTCTTCATAATTATAGTAAATATTAAAACGTAAATGCTGTATCTAAAAAAACTATTTAGAACTCCATCTAGTTTACTTTTATGACTCAGGTAGTATGGGAATCAGACTGAGGGGCAATCAATTTGTGTCCTAACTAAAGAAAAGTATAGAATTTGAATTATGTTTAGATTAATGAAATCATGAGTTGTCCACTTGACAAAACAACATTTTTATTGATTTTTGAATTGTAGCAGTGATATGGCCATTAAAGCTCATGTAAGAGTTAAAGGTGATCTCTCTAGATCTTCGATTTGATCGACAGGGTCCAAAAAATGATGAAATAAACTATAATTATATGTTATTAAATGATGGCTGCGATAATATCGGATGTTACATTTGTTAGTATTTAAATCCATGCCATTACTATAACATCAACTTGCTAGTTTATTTAAATCCGATTGCAAAATCTGAGTGGTATCATAATCATTAATGATCATGAAGCACTTCAACTCATCTGCGAACAATAGGGCTTTAGTGCCAGGAAAGCAAGTTGTGATATTTATAAACAGGTTGAATAGTAGCGGTCCTAAGTAAGACCCTTGAGGGACACCCGATTTTACTGGGAAAATTTGGGAATGATGATTTACTCGGACCTGTTGAGTCATATTCTTTAGATAACAACTTAGCCACTGTAAGATCATCCCATCTATACCATGTAAATTGAGGTTATGAAGGAGATCATGGCTCACCTTCCAAAGGCATTGGAAAAGTCGGTATGCATAGAATCTACCTGTAGACCCTTCTCCAAGGCTTCAGACAGAAAGTTGGCATTCGTCAATAGGCTCAGTTCAGCAGATTTGCCTGGCGAAAAATATTGTTGGGATTTTAAGATGTTGGAGCAGTCGTATGTTAGAAAATCAGTTATTAAACTATCAATGATTTCTGGGATTGTGCTTAGGATGGAAATGCGGTGATAATTTTTTGCAATCACATTTGTTGCCCGATTTGTAAATGAAAGTAACATAAGAGTTTCCAAACGTCAGGAAATTCACATGTGCTCAGTGATTTGTTAAAGATATGAAAAAGTGGTCTAGATAATAAAAAAAAATATTTTTTTTTGAAAAGGTGAAATTCCATTCTCTTTAATAATGTCAAGTGTTTACAGCATTTCATAAATATTGGGAATTTTGATAAAGAGGATACGCATATTACAGATTGGATTTCACTATCGTTTAAATTTATGGTTTGGTTCGTGTATACAGAAGAAAAAGGACTAGCAAATAGATTTGCACTGTCATTACCGCAGGAAGTTACAGTATCGTTTAATGTCATTGAGTCAGGTTAATAATTATTTTCTCTCTTTATTTTTTACAAATTTACAGAACACTAATATTTTTTACAACTGAATTCTTAGTACGGCTTACGTAACTAGCATAGCACTCTTTTGATAACATTTTGCATTGGGCTCCGAGTTGACTGAAATGAAATTATTGTTCTGGAGACTGAGTACATTTATAAATTCTATGGTTAAAATGGATTTTTTTCACTGGAACAAATTGTTCTATCACTGAAAACACAAGGAACAAACTAAAACGGCATCATTCAATTTTATGTTGGAATATTATATATTAAAGAATTTTTTTTTTTTTAATAGAATGACAACATTGGTTATGACCCCCATTCACAGATATTCTTCAAATAAATCGTTAAGTTTTGCATAGAAGAAATTACAGAACTATGGTCTTGTATTCAAGTGGTAAGCACAAGTGAGTGCAATTTTATTTCTTTAGCATCGCATTTGGCAAAAACATTTTAGATATTACCATGATTCATTATGCCTATAAGAGTATTCCGTGCACTCTTCTTCCTCGCCATCAGATATATCTATCACATTGTTGCCTGGATAAGTAGAATTAGCCACGTCGTCTAAAGATTCTTTTCTTCTTTTGTCTTCGGTATCATCAACAGCTAAAAAGAATCATTTTATATTGATTCACCTATCACATTTGGTTAATCATTGATCATAGTTTTTCAATTAAAATTACTTACAAATGCAGTCATTATCACGATCACTTTGCTTTCTTTTGGAAGAACTGCAACTTGAAGAAAACTCTGGCTCTTGAGAAGGATTAATTGGCGTTGAAGTGGAAATATGTTTACCCTTTTTCCCCTAATAATACAAAAATCAGTTATTTGTCATTCTAAGCCAAAAAGTCTTACAAAAATTTCGCATCAGATGAACTAAGAAAAAATAACCATATCTCACTCAGAAAATTAAAAAAAAAAAACTTACCACACTGTTACTTGGCGTTTTTTTAAGGCTTTTATTAGGACTTTTTTTAGGAGTCTTGTTCGGGGTTTTGGGTGTTTTCGGAAGAGCATTAGACTTCGGAAAAGATTTTCGCTTGGTCTTTGACTGCGCTAAAAACATTTCTACTTCACTAGGATCATTCAGCAATTTTTGATGGTATCTAAGTTCCTCGAAAGCTTTATTGAAAGCCGTCGAGGGCTTTATCTATAAAATGAAAAGAAAATTTATAACAAATGTTTTCAAATTTAATTGATACAATAAAATATGTAGTTGAAATTTAGTTTCATAATTATATATGGTTAAGCTTACCATAAGGCTATCTTTAGGAGTATCTATGGGTTTTATATACATTTTCTGCAGCAAAGATCTTTCATATTTTCCTCCAAAAAATCTTACATCATAATGTGTATCGCTCACTTTTATAACCTAAAAAAAAAAAACCTTTTTAACATGGTTAACAACATTAGCCATTTTTAAAGACATATTTAGGTTGTTCTTTTTCAAAAATATAGAAATATTATTAAAAAATATTTTCTAATCTGGCAGGAGGACATATAAAGTAATTTTTCTTTTACAGTGTGAATCAAAAGTAAGGAATCCATTCAATACTGATTTTTGGAAAAAATTCATAAAAAGGCTAATTTTGTTTTTACATTCAGGCCCTTTTGACATATACATTATTATACCGGGCAATGCTTGTAAATAATAAAAAAACGTTAATAAAAGAGATGTAATATTTATTATTTCATAATTTAAAGTTACCTTAGCAGGCCAATATGGGTATCCTTTCTGTTTAGCCCAAACTAATTCGTGAGGGTTTCTACATGGCAAACAGAACCATTTTGGGTGCAATTTTTCATTGCTGTGTTTATAACAATCTACACAGTTCCTCATCTCATTTATATCATGATTAGTATCCCTTACCATAAGTTCCGCTGCTCCATATTCTTGTGATTCAGCTAAGAAGAATATAAATTATTTCGAATATGCTAATATCGGTTTGTTGGCAAAGGTAAGGTAATATTCGAATTTACTGAACTAATTTAACCAATAACCAAGGAAAGTATCAAATCAAAATACCCCATCCCGAAAAACTTGGAAACGAGGACCTCCCATACAGGCTGAAGTAGCCAGTGCTGGAACATGTGGACCAAAGTCGAAAACAGTTTCACCGAGTCTAAGAGAATATGCAGGGCGAAATTATAGCCATAAAATACTGTGCAAGAGAAACAATAAATCAGGAATTAACAGGTAGTCTTGCATTCACTGTCTTGATATCGGTACTGCTACGTCAACTTTACTCTCTGTGGCAGCCTTAGTAGGTGACAAAGGCTAAGAATCTTATTTGTGAGATCCCACCTTTTGAATCAATTATTTATGAAGGTATGTATAATACTGTAAATGCAATACTTCCATAACATACTTTTGGAAAACTTGTACATGTACAGTTTCCGAAATTTAACACTAAATTGGTTTAAAAGTTACTTATCAATTCGAATAAAAGCTGTAAAGATAGCAGGTAGAATTTCGAAAAGTTCCGAATTAAAACATGGAGTTCCACAAGGATCGGTCATAGGACCACTTCTAATCTTGCTATTCGCGACAGCAGCGCCAATTTGTTTTGGTATTAAAGGACTATTTCTGCCTATACTGACAAATACAATTTTTAATAGAATTCGTAAATAAAAAGTATATATGTTAGTTTTAATAAAAGTATATGGATTTGTAAAACAAGTAAAACTTTAATTTATTATTATTATATATTTTTCCCGCTTAAATTAAAGAAAATGATGTATAATCAATAAAAATCAATAATAAAATATAGGCAGGCAACAGTATTTACTAGAAAATGTATAAGAAGTTGCCTAAGTCTAATAAGTTGTCATTGAAGAATTAGCCTATTCTGTCAAAATAAAAAAATACCATTTAATAATAGCGTGAAGTTAAAATGTATAAAAAGGATCGTTATTTATATTTTCATTTTTGTTTGAAAGAAAACATAGAATGAATGATTAAAACTGGTTTCCGATCAGTAAGTCACAAAATTGCATTCCAGCCAAATATTATAATCAACGGCAGAAATCTTGAAATCTAGTCCTTGCTGAATGAACATTTAAGAATAAAGGGATATTAAAGAACATCGTAAAATGATAATTTATTGTTTATTTAAAACCTTTCAAGTTTCTGATGTCTACTATTTCCAGCATTACTGTTATTATCACAAAAATAAAGGTAATTTTTCTTCTTATTGTACATCTATCCATTTATTTCTTTGATTTAATTTCCACTTTGCTAGTGAAATTTGTTATATAAGTTTCACTGTTTTTTTTTGCTAGTATTTGTACAATTTTCAACACAGCAACTCCGGTTGCTTATTGTGTTGTTTTTACATACTTTTTTGAAAAAAAGTAAAATGTATACGTGTATTTGATATGCTAAAATTACAAATTATCGCCCTAAAATGCACGAATTATCCGCAGCTAGGCTAGTATCGCTTTTGCTTCCCTTTCCATGACTTCGCACGGAGCGAATATTAATAATTTAACAAAAATTAAAATATTTGGAAACTTTACAATATTTGCTAAAATTAGCTTTTAATGAACTTATTCGTTTTCTTGAATTTCACAAGGGGAAGTTCTTTAATTAGCTTTGTCACTAAAGATGTTGTCAATTCATTGGATAGATAGATTCAAAAAGTATTTCGTTGGCTATCAGTAACTTATTAAATTGATTAAAAATTCACCATTAAATACCTATATCAATTTTAAAATTAAATATTGACAAAAAGAAAAAAAATCTTACTTCCATGAAATATGGCTACATTATGATGGATAGTCAAAACATCAGCTAAGAAATCGGCAAACATAGAATATGTCTCAGTATTTAATTTAACTTCGATCACTGACATGTCAGTATGTTCACAAAACAGTTGATTAGCCCTCCAAGTCATTTCAGTGGCCGAAAGCCAATCAGGAGTATCTTCAGCTGCCAAAGTTTGAGTTATTGTATTAGGCAACTAAAAATACATAAAGCGAAATAGAATAGAAATTCTGATTAAAAAGTAATGTAATTGATAAATTTCAATTTTGAAATGTGACTAGCAGAAAAGTGAATTAAATTAATGTAGTCTAGAAATGAGATTGTTTGTACAACTAGAAATAAAATGAAGGACTATGATACTTACACTAGATACATTTGAAAATTCTTAATAACATTTTATTTAAAGTTCTGCGGACTTACCCAAGCCCTAATTCTGTTTAAAACAAATTTTAACAAATAATTAATTTCATTTTTATCCATATCAGATGTTGTATCTATTTTTTTGACATTGCACATCGAGCACAAACTTTCATCATATGTCAACGTACTTTTGTCAATGGTTGCAGTATTATTTGTTATGTTATTTGATGAACTATGACTATCGACTGTAGTTGGATCTGTGCCATTTGTGGTTGGTATATTTATTAAGTCGTCATCGTCTATTATGGTTACTGATTCAGTGCTGTTTAATGGCATTGGCGTTTTATTAGCAATTTTCTAAAACAAAGAAAATACTTAAATATGGTTCATGTATTAAAACATTCAGATAATCATTTTAACTGTCAAAATGTCTGTGGTTTGAAATGCCTAATTATACAGTTGAGGATATGCCCCTCCAATATAAAATTAACTTAACCCCGAGAGTTTGTCTAAAATGTTAATGCAGTTCTTGATAATAGCCGTTTCGTTTTTGTCTAGCCACCCTGTATATAAAAAACAACAGGGTATCTTCCATTCAATTCCTAGTTTATATTTTTTTATATAAATTTTATCTTTTAATACAATAATAAAAAACCGTTACTTTAACATACTTTCAATAATAAATATGTGGTAATGTATTCATGGAAACAGTGTTTGTTCATTCACTTGTTTTAAAAATGATTAATAATTTTAAAGTTGAGATAAGACGAAATTATTTTACTAATAACATATTAACCTGAATATTTTTGTAGGTTTTTGTTGAGTAAAATTATAAAAAAATAATTTCATATTTTAGTGTGAAAGGAGTAAAAAATGTCTCTAGAACAGGGTTAATTTAAATAAAATTCTCAGACATCACATGCTATTCCCTCATTTTAAAATTTCTGTATCCAGTAAGAAAAGTATAGGAATAATTTATCATTATTTGATCATTTTCGCGATGATGTCTGTCTATATTTTGGCCATAGTCGGAGCATTTGGGAGGTGGGTACAATTTTTCTAATTGAAGGTATATTTCTGTTATTTATAATAGAAGAAATTTTTTTTTAATAATAGTCGTATATGATGTCATTCTAAATGGACCGTAATGGAAAAATTTGAAGAAAAGTGCAAAATTAATTTTTTAGTATTTTCGTTGGCAATGAAGATATTCCAAAATACTTTTTTAATCAGATGGGCCGTACTTTTTACAACTTTACAGGAAAGTCATGTGTTGAGCACATCATATTTTTTAGAAAGTGTTTTGAAATACATAAAAAGAAAAACTAATCTCTACATGGACAAGTTTTTGAAACACAATAAATTAGTTTTTCTAATTTTGACATAAAAACTGACATTTTTTTGTAATCATGGCAAATGTTAAAATTATCTACTTAATGCAACCAGTTGCATGTTGAAAATTTTGAAACTGGTTTCGAATAATTCATTATGACACCAGTTGCAAAAAGAAAACAAATAAAAATACCCCTTTTTTGGTTTTAAAATCAACAATATACATTATTATTGAAAGATTATATCAAAGAAGGGCCAGTTGACTTATAATAATAGAATTTGGTTACATTTACAACCTAGTAATAATGTTGATTTGGGCCTTATTATCCATTCTAAATCGGCACAAAATAATTAATTCACAATACACTACAAAATAACCCACTTTTTTGAAAACTAAATAACTTTTAAGCCATATAAACTCACTACAAGTCGTAGAAAATAAATAATTAATATTATGTTCTATTTGTAAATAAAATGATGCATATGCAACTAACAATACAAGAAAGTAGTAATATTGGTTGCCTAGATGTCAATAATTTTTCACCAAAACAATTTTATAAATAATTTAGTCAAAATTAGAAAAAATATTGTATGTAACACGTTACGAAATAACTATTGTTTTGCAATAAAATTCAAGTGGGTAATTTAACTATCAAGAAGATATAACAATAGTAACAATATTGAAAATATTGTTATTGCTTATATTTAACTTACTTTTATGTTAAAATTCATAATTCCTCTTTGTGATTCGAACTTCTTTCGAGCGCCTGTCAGACAGTCTTGATGAAATACACGAACACAATTGTTGCATTCTGTCACATCACCTGCCAAGTGACATTCAAAACAGTACCAATCTTTTCCATCTAGAGGTGGCTAAAAATCCTTATTTGAATAAAATCATTTTGTACTTATTCCCCCTCAGATTCAATATACTTTTCCCTAAACCTCGTCCGATCTAAATTTATGTTTTTTTTTCTGTAACAATAATTTTTGCTAACCAATGACAAATCTTTTCATCGATCATAAAAAATATCGATTGTATTAAACTTCAAGTAAGAATTAAAATATATAAAAAATACTAATTCTGAAGTAATGATGGTATAATAAACAAGATTATTATGAGGTACTTACCAATTCTTCTTGTAAAGGTATTTTATAACTCTGGTATGTACCTTTGGTTGGCCTAAAATATTTGTATTATCTCATAATTTGCAAATATAAATACAGAATTATCTATAATAGTTTTCTATGGCTAACATTTTACAAATATTCTTTGTAATTTTAAATTATTTCAAAGCAGAGTATTTTAGGAATTATTATGAAAGTGTAATTTTCTCCATTTTTGTTTGATAATGCACTGCAATAACAAAATAATACTAGTAATAATAATAATAAGAAAAAAATGCTCGGATATTGTTTTTTCAGTGCACATTTTTTAATACATATATTTTTTTTATGACATCAGCATTTCAGATATGACGTAATTTTTTTTATTACTTGTGCAATGAATCCAGAAATTTCGTGTTCCACCAATTTTGCCCAATATCAATACAGTAATATACTATTTATAAGTTGAATTGAAGTTGTAAATTGCTATTTTTTTTATTGTCTTCCAAAAATTAAATTATTACAGGTCAGTGTTGAAAAATATGGTCAAAGTTATTACAATTTTACAAATGTTTATCAATTTATATCAAAGTAGAATCCAACAATTATTAAATAAGGTAAGGAAAAAAGTGAGAGGCGTACTTCAGTCTGTAATTAAAATTTAATAAAGTGAGAGGGGTACTTCAGTGTTCAATTAAAATTTAATAAAATGAGTTCTTGCATTTTCACAAAGCCATCAACATGGCCATGCTGAGAAAATATTTATTAATAATGAAATTACAATAAATGTTCAGAATTCTGTTTCCCTAACAAAACTATTATAAAACTAATATAAAAATATTACTTTCTTAAAATAAACATACACTTACGCTATAAGTTTATCAGCAAGAGCTTGTTTAATATAAAGTTCCACTTGTGCAGGAGTATAATCGATCTGCAAATATTTTGAAATCCTCGTCAAATCTGGTGATAGTTTTTGTTGATTGGCTGTTCTAATGGCATTCCAAATTCTTTTTAGATTAATTGGATCAGTTTGCCTTCTGATAGTCATTTCTGAAATTCAGTTTTAATTACAAAACAATATTATTACAAATGGGTAAATACAATAATTAAAGCTAAAAAAAAAACTATAAAATAAGCCCTGGGGCACCTCAATTTTATTGGCTTTCAATTACTTTCCTCTCTACTCCCTCATCAGCATATAATGGTATTTAACTGTTAATTCCTATTTTTGGTAGGTATATAAATATAAAAAAAAAATCAAACTCTGCAATGTTTTGGTCCAATCCTGTATATAAATATTGACCTGCATAAATCAATTATATTTAGCAGTACCTATACAGATAAAGCCAATACAGTTATAGACATTATCATACCCACATTACCCCAGAAAGATACCTATGTGGGTACCTACCATTAAATATTTACAAACATGAAAATCTTTTTAAAGTAAATCTTGACTCTGAATTGAGTGCTACTGTGATGTGTAAAAAATGATTCCACTATATGGAATAATAGGAACCATATTAGTTATAGTTGGTGTAGTTTATTTGTACATATTTCTGAGATACTTAGTAAGAAGTAAAAAAAATGATGAATTAATTATAGCAGTTTCTGAAGCTCTAATTACAATTGCAATTGGTGGTTTCTATATTTATTCAGTTGTAGTGATTGCAAATAATTCGAAAGATCATTCAGTTAACTTTACTAACACACTAGATGATATACTATTAACAAGTGATACTTTTGAGTACTATTTTACTACAAAATCACCAGTAACAGAAGAAACCAGTGAAAATTATCAACTGAGCCAGGAAAATAGTGAACAAGAAATAGAAAATAACTTGGATGTGGATTATAATAAAGAAAGTAATGAAACAATTAACAAGAGTACAGTTGATCCAACTACCAGCAGTGCAGATGATTATCTATATACTGAAGAATCACTTACATCAACCACTTCTACCACTACAGAAAAAGCATCTTTACCAATGGAAATAAATAAAACAGAGCAATTTATCAAGAATTACCAAACTTTTATTAAGGAATTTATTAAACAAAAAGTATCAAATACATCCATCTTCAATCAAACATTTACAAACATGAAATTTGGTCCCCCTAAAATAAAAACCAGCAGAGAAATTAAATTTGAACCAGAGGAAGACACTTGTTTTTATAATGTTTTCCTCGGAAATGCATTACTGCTCTATTCATTTACTCACTGTTTGTTAACCTTAGTTAGTAACACTCTACTATGCAGAAAATGTATTGAAACCAATAATGAATTGAAAGAAGAGTCTCAAGATTGTGAATCTAGCATTAACAGTAAAAATGATGAAGTTCTTGATACCAGTGGTAGTGTATCGGCACCTGTGGGTCCTCTATTTGAAAGTAGCAACAGTAAGGGTTCAAATGATGGTCCAGATTTAAAATTATTTCAAGCCAAAAGTGCACAGTCTGTCCCAGTACCTGATACAGAAGGTATAAAAAAACCTGTTATTTCAAATCAAAATTCTGCAAAATATAAACTTATTCTCCATATTTTGGTAACCTGGATACTGCCTATTGTGGGTGTAATAATTTTGTATTTTTCAAGTAAAAGTGAACAAATTTTACCAAATTTTGAACAAAATATTAAAGTTAAAAGCAATTTTACTACATCCCCAATAGAGCCGAATATTATGAATTTAATACAGAACCCAGCTAATGTTACCACAAATTCTTCAGAAGTTGATAATATTGTGAACAGAATTTATAATATAGTTAATATTGTTAAGGAAAAAGTTGACAAAAAAACCACTTATTTTACACCAGTTATGGTAGATGTTGTGTATTTCTTATCACATAAACCAAGGCATTCACTTTATTCAGATATATGTTTTACAATGAACATTTCTACTAAACTTTTATACCTTTTTATATTTGTAATAAGTTATTTTGGGGTTATTTTATTTGCTAAAATTACCGAAACAATTGCAAAGATAAAAAACGAGGAAAAAGCAAAACAGCAGAATATTTGTTTTCTTAGTTTTACATTTCTGTGGTTACCCAGTGTTATAGACTTATTTTACAGGATGTTTGTATCGCAAAGTAGTTCTTCTGTGGCATCTACTATTTTTTTAGCTTTAGGAAACATTAATAGATTGCAGACTCTGATGTATAATCATTTAAATGTAAAAAACTATGTACAGAAATCAAATTTTGTTAATCCAGCATAAATTGTGTAAGATTATATTTCAATTTATATGTATACAAACGGTTTAATAAAAAAATATCAATACTTAATACTTGTTTTTGCTTACTTGTGTACGGAATATCAAATCGATTTCTGATTAGTTGTCAGGTGTGAAACTATAATTTCAGAAGCAATAAAGTTTCAGTGGCTTCATGAAAAAGTTAATCCTTAAAATTATTACTGTAACAAAAATCCACAACTCCAAGTAAAAAAATACCCTAATAAACGTTTATAACATCAATATTCAACATAAATGAAATGATCCATAACATTTGACAAAAAATATTGACTATTGACTTGACAGTTGACATTCTGATTGTCACTGTCAATGTGTCACCTGTCAATCACCGATTCGAAAACAGGAGTGCGTTTAGAAACCACGCACGGCGCGTCTGGACCCTATTCTAATGTATGTGGTGAGACGCGCCGTGCGGGGTTTCTAAACGCACTCCAACTCAAGTTCTGTGATAAAATTTAAGGGGGCTGAGATCACTGAACCATCGTCCTTTTATGAACAGGTTGAGACATAGCCTTCCATCTTGGACGCTATTTTTATTTGAAATAGTAGTCGCCAAGACTGCTAATTTATATAAAATGTGTAAGCCGTTCTTAAAAAAATAATATTTTCATTGAGTTCGACATAAAGTATTTAAATGTAATCCATGAATTATGATTTCACGTACTGTAATAGACTACATCGTATGTCGCAACCATTTAGATATACCAAACCTTAGCATCGCGTTTCATTCGTTTCGAATGCCTAACTATCGATTAATCGATTTTATCTCAGATATTTATTATTCGATCAGAGTCATAGATTAGAGGAAAGAGAATGGAAGGGAAACTCAATGGTAAATTTCTGAGGTGATGTGCCATCTATCAAATTGTAGTAGTACTAAATTCAATATACCATCCAGGGACGCGCTTTTTGAAATTTAACTTTCTGCTTGCTGGGCAAAAATGTAATGAAGAAAATCAAACAAAAAAAATAAATTGGAAAAATATTTGACTAGTTTCAAATCATAAAACAACTATATTGACTGTTTTATTATTTGGAACTTGTCAAATATTTTGCCAATTTATATTTTTATTTGATTTTACATTATATTTTTGCATTAATTTCAAACTTGTAATAAAATGAAATTTTTTTTTTTTTTATTACAATAAATTAACGCCGCATCATATAATTTGTCTATTTAAACATCGAAATACTCAGACAAATATGCATTTACACCATTTAAATAAGTAAATATTTATAAAACAAACCTATCAAAAATATTTTCTGTAACAAAATCAGCATGTATAGTGATCAAGTTTTGCGACTTGGAGTGGCAAATAAGTTTGAAAAAATTGAAGTTGTAGCATCATCCTTTTGGTGTCTTACTATCAAGGAGAATTTGAGTGTGGATAAAATTTGCCATACACTTATTGAATCGACTAGTTAGGTTGAGGAGCATTTCTTCATCCGATAATTGTTTTATTTATTTTTTTGTACAGCATTTGTAGTCATCAAATTCTTATTCATCATCTGGGCACTGTGATAAATGAATTTAGCTTTGAATAAATGTTAATATGTTATTCTTTTTTTATTAGACTAGATATTTTGACGTTTTTATGAATTATTTCAATAAATATACGGGAATTCAATGAAAATAACTGCTTAATAATTTTAAAGGTGAAGCTTTAATGAAAAAATACAAAAATAAAAGCCACAAAATCATATAAAAGGGGACGTCTTGGAAAACAATAGAAAAAAAAAAGGAAAAGAAAGGGAAAGAACATAATCAAAAGCGACAAAAACACAACTTAACAAACGATTTAATTTACATGTCCAATAGGTATACATTTTTGGAATCGAATAATAGCGGAAAATTGAAAAATGCAATAAAATATATATAAAAAAACATGGGGGTGGCCATGGGGAGGAGAGGGTGAAAGTTGCAACGAATATAAATGAACAGAAATACGTCCCTCTTTATATGATTTTTGACTTATTGTTGTATTTTTCCATAGAAGCCTCACCTTAAATTTAAAATTAAATTAGGCATTGAAAATTATTTTCTATCTTTGCTATTTTCCTTTTGATATAATGCAATGCCTGTTGCGGTATTAGCCTAAGTAGTTGTTGTTTTCAAGAAGAAAACGGTCGCTCGAGATTTATTCTTTTCCTTTGGTATTTATTTTTATTATTTTTTGTTCAAAATACAAAAGAAAACAAAACTGAGGACACTTGACTAGCACGGGAATGCCTAGGCCTATAGCCTTCCTCCATGGCCTATAGTGACTATCCCTATATACCTAATAAATATATTTTTTGAAGGTAAAGATAACGTTTCAAAGCGGATGTTTTTCAAGGCAATTTGAATAGCTGCCACGTATTCACACGAAGTAATGAGTTTTCTCTGGTAGAAGTAATGAGTAGATTAAGTTCAAGTAGATACACCTGCCTGTATATCATCATAAAAGTTGATTGCAATACGTATTGAGATTATTAATTCTACATTTTATTTCTTCACGATGACAAGGTCAAATTTTCTAATTGACTCGTGAACGTTCACCCATAGAAAAATTAAAGTGTTTACCTATGAATTCTTTTTTGGTTAAAAATATATACTAGAAACAGGTACTGGACAGGGGCAAGTAATATTACTTTTCTCGCTGAACTCTGAAAAAAGATAATTATGTGTTTCAATCTCTTTTCCGTAAATTTTCATTTATTTTTGAAAAAATTGTAACTCGATTAGTTAACTGAAAAATTAAGTGATTCGATAATATTCATTTCAAACAATTACTTGGTCTTCGAATAGTTTACTTTTCGAAAAAATATGAATTCTAAAAATTATTTTTCAAACAAATAATTTCGAAAAAGTATTTGATTAGATCCAAAGCACTATCTAGGAAACAACTTAGAACTGACACCGTATTTTTTATAATTTTGCTCCAGGATATTTTGATTCTATGCATTAATTAATTACATATTTTTTAATAAATGCTTCAGGCACAGTCAGATTTAATATTGCCGATATAGTACCTACCAATATTACGCATGGGTAATACAGGGTGTACCAATTTAAAACAACTATCATATCGTATAATTTTATTAAAAATATCAAAGCACCATCCGCACGATTCTTACATGTTTAAATTTTATTAGTAATAAAATAGTTTTAATCACTTTACGTAATTAATATAAATAATAAAAACACTACTTTTAGTTAAGTAACTATTTTTTTTGTTGGGCAACCCCTTATTTTTGACTCGGTTAATGAACTTTGTATCACAATTTTTGATAGATATACTGATATTTCCTAATTTTTATCACTTTCTCTAGTCCATAAATCTATAAAATATTATGAATGTTTCTTAATATAATAATTATTGTTCCAAAAAAGGTGATTGGATCTAGATCAGGCCAAAAACGTGATATTATAGTGGTTAACTAAGAGGTTAAATAATATTTAGTTATTCTTTCAAGTTATTAACTTGAATGGACTAATCTACAGTTTTTCGTTCTATATAACTTTAAAAGTAATGGCCGATACATATGAACAAATTACCTTATTCTTGATTTCTATCGTGTATAGGAGCGCATATACGGGGGGGATAGGGGTAACTACCCCAAGAATTTTTAAACCTAACTTTTTATAGGTACTAAAATGTTTTATTACCAAAAATAAAGTCTTAAATATTACCACTTCTTAAACTTTATTACCAGAACCCCCCACATTTAAACTCTGGATGCACCACTGATCCTGTACAAATAGTAGTTTGTGCAACAAGAAAGCAAAGCGAAACTTTTCCCACAAATCAAGTGAAACTATTTTTACAGCGAACAATTTACAGGGTGGGAACTTACATAAATTACTAATAAATATACATACAGAAAGATATCAATTGAAATTAAACTAATTAATCTAGTAGTGTAGAGTGTGAATTGATGAAAAAAAAAAATGCATACTGTTAGTCAGCGAATTAGGAAATCGCTGCCACTGGTGTTGACGGGGTCACGGTGCGCTCGTGCAGCGTCCGAGAGGTGAGAGAAATCACTCGAATTTCGATCGAGCGAAGACAAGAAGGTAGGCATTTAGGGCCCTTTATAGACATTCTTTAGTTTGTTCCTTAATTAATTGGATTTTAAGCGACTGGTTTGCAAGATCTTATCAATTTTTTTGAAACTGAAGGTAAAGTAAATGTTTTGTTTTGACATTTTGATTTTTATGGTTGCAGGGATGAAATAATAAGCCTTAAAACATGGAGTCAGCATACTCCATTGGTTAATGTTATGTTTTATATCTCAACGATGAAGTAATAAGCCTTGAAACATGGAGTCAGCATTCATCCATGTTTAATGTTTTATATCTCAAGGATGAACATGGGGGTCAGCATACTCCTATCCATGTTTAGTGTTATATTTTATGTCTCAAGGACGAATAATTAATAAGCCTTGAAAGATGGGATCAACATACTCCCATGAAATATTTTATTTATGAATTGTTTTTCAGGATTACAAATTGAAGCATGGGGTCAGCATAATCCCATTAATTATTTTATTTATGAATTGTGTTTTGAAATTACAACTAGAAAGATGAGGTTAGCATACTCCTATGAAATATTTTACATATGAATTGTTTTTCAGAATTACAAATTGAAACATGGGGTCAGCATACTCCCATGGACTATTTTATGTATAAATTGTTTTTCAATATTACAACTTAAAATATGGGGGGTCAGCATACTCCTATGGAATATTTTATTTATTATTTGTTTTTTAAGATTACAATATCTTAAAGCTTAGGATCAGGAAAGTTTATATTGGACCTTGGCATTTAGGTCACGTTTTATCTTTTTCTACAGAAAAGGCCCAGACAGCACACCAAATCCTTTGGATATCTACTGAACATCCCAATATCCACTGAATGTCCAGTCTATGGTGGATATCTATTTTATATCCATAAAATGTAATTTATAGACATGCAAATGTCCATAAATAATAGTAATTATATAACAAATTATTAAAAAATTACGCCATTGTGCTCGCCATTGTGGCTAATAGTACCGTTCAGATATTTAAAATTAATTTTTTTAAGGTGTATTCAATATCCCATGGACATCCACATATATCAAAGTCTTAGCGCGGACGCAAACCATCGTGGATATCTACTAGATGTAATTTTTGATTTTGCTTCCTAAGTATAGATGGCGATACCTCTTTCGTATCTACTCATGCTCAACCCGCCATAATTGAGTTGATCGAAAAAAATTTCGCATTAAGACTCTATTAGAGACTGGAGTCGAGAATTTCCATTTAT